AAGCGACAAACCCAAGCCCAGCCCCAGCTCTTGTTCCTTGAGCCGATCCTAATCAGAGCCTGCACGCTTTTATGCTTTTAAATTACAGTATCCCCGGATGGTAAATGGCTCTCTGCATGGACGGGCAGCACCCAGCCCCGGTCCCGGGGAGAAGAACAAGCCCTGTCTCCCTGCCGTACCGTTATTTATTATTGCGCGAAGGTTATAATTATTAACCTGGAACTTAATTTATTAAGAGAGATCGGAGATAGAAGGAAGCACGGGCTCATTTCTCATGTACAGCTTTCTCCACTCGACCTTTTTATCCGCGTGGGTTTCTCCAGGCACCCACGGGCGGCCCCGGCTGCGCACGCAGGTGCAAGGAATGCACAGGCACACTCACACACTGCTCCTGCAGCCCAGCCCGTTTTCCCGGTCCCTTTCCCACTCTCCTCGCCCTTTTCTCCCGGCAGCAACCAAACCCCACTCTCCTTTCCTCCGGAGGGGATCAGCAGCCACAGGAATGGAGCAGTTCCAGCCTGACAAGCAGTTCACCACCTTTCCAGAACCATAAAACTTTTATCGGCCCTCGCTGCTTTAATATAAGTTTTCTTAGGGCTTTAGAGCATAAAAAGCAAATTATTCACGGTATTATCCCATCTGCTTTTGCTGCTGGCAGAGGGTTACTCGCCCCTGCGCTTGCACTGGTAATGGAACCCGTGGCGGCGGCTTTTCCCAGTAACGATTTAAGGCCCGTGTGTTCGTCTGGGGGCGTGTGCATGTGGGGGGGTGTGTGCATGTGTGAGTGCGCACATGTGTGTACATGTGTGTGCACATGCGTGTGTGTGTCTGTGCACATGTGTGTGTATTGTAATAGTAATTAATTATAACTAATAATTTAATTTCTCTTCACTTTTAAGGTCCCCGAATGGAAACTCTGGGCCCTTTTTCCCTTTTTCCTCTTCTTTTTTCTTTTTTTTTTTTTTTTGTGTGTGATTCCTTGGATTTAATTAGCTGCAGTGTACCCTAGAAGGTCTCAGAAATTCCTGACATACTCTGGACTCTTTCCAGTCATTACAGGAGCCTTCATCTGCCTTCATTATGAATTGATCTGAATATGGTTGTGAATGTAAACAGCACGGGCCGCGCAGGGCCGCGGAGGGGACCCGAACCCCCCGGGGTTTCACCCCAAAAGGGGATGCGGACACGAATCCCCCCGGCTGGGCCCGGCGACATTTCGGGTGGTCCCTGTCCTACCCTCGCTTCGCCATTTTTACTTCCATGTTCTTTATTTTCGCCTTTAAATCCGACTGATAGGACAAGGTAAAATTGATAACAGAAAGTTTATTCAAGAATTGTTCGACAGACAACCCTTAAGCAAGGAAATAAAATAACTACTATAAGAACAAAGAAAGATCTCCAAAGAGGAGGGGTGAGGTGGGAGGGAGGGATTAGCTATAGTTCTTCTAATTCAGGACTATACAATTACAGTCTGGTTCTGCTCTCATGCCTCCAGTAGAACTAATTACATTATTCATAAGTACGAAGGTAACATAAAACTACTGGTCTTTCTAAATTACAATAACTAAAATAAGCTTGTTGTACAATGACAAGGAAACACAATGTCCTTTATAACAAGTAAATACTAAAAAAGTACAATTTGATTCTTTTTTCCTCATATAAATACATAATATTGGGGATAAATAATACAAAAAAAGGAAAATATTTTAAACTGGCTATAACCAATAAATATATATGAATGTTCACCAGAACACACACCTATTGAAGGACGTCTCGACTGAGCTGGACGAACGCCCTTCAAAGTTGTTTTTATACCCATTATATGTAAACTCTAAGTGCAACAAAGATGTCCAGACAAGAAAGCATTAGCAAATACTAGAGATCCATTCACTTCTGCTTCGATTGGAGGACATTCCGTTTGTTCAAATATACCCTGTTTTCACGTAAGGTCAAGAGAAGAGGAGGAAAGAAGCTTAGGACTTCTAAGTCTTAAGATTGCTTTTCTGTTAATGAACCCTAAGAAAAATACCCCCAAAACAAAAAAACCCCATCGGTGTCGAATGCAGACTTGATGTCATCAGAAGCAAAGGTGGGAAAATATTCAGACCTGTCAACTCTTTCTTCCTCTCTTTGGACTGCTGTTATTGTTGGTGAGGGGGTTTAGGCATTTCAAAAACTTGTTTCACGAACCTTTTGCAATTCTTAGACCTCTTTTATTCTATTTTATTATTATTATTATTATTATTGTTGAGAGGGGAGGCAGGCGCCAGAGGGGAAGAGTGTGAATCCCATGCGTTGGCAGGTATGTATATTTGCAGTTTATATGGGGTCTGGTGGGAAGTTACTCGGCAAAGAAGGATGCCCTTTCTCTGAAGGCTGGAAAGGGAAGTGCGAGGTTCCTCTTGAGAAGGAATCAGAGAATCTTTTTCGATTGCATATGTGTACAAGTGTGCATGATTACGTAGACGGAGAGAAACCAACTGCAAAAATTTGGCTGGCTGACTGTGCTCCTTTCCAGTGTCCGAGAATTACCAGTGGTGATCTGTACTTGGTTTGGAAATGAAGGATGCTGCTGCTAAAAACCTGCTAGATTCCCACAAAACTACCCCAAACCCATTTCAGAAGCATTTGTGTTGAAACACAGGAGGTATATCTCTCTTCAGAGAGAGAGCTGCTCTTGGCAGCAAATACTGAAATGGTTGGAAATTGTGCCTAATAAAACCCAGAAATAAGAATAGCAAGCACAACAACCTGGTAGGAATTGCCCTGTCAAAGAAAGAAAGAAAACAGCTCAACACAAATGTTCCTGAAGCCGACCCTGCCCTCTGCCCCTCTCCCAAGCCCCACAGCGAGGTCCCATCCACTTTGCCTGAGCCTGTCCCTGCTCCCTATCACAGGTGGGTCAACTTGGGCGCCTCTTGGATTCTGCCCTGAGAAGAAGCGTGGTGCGTGGAAAGGTCTGTGTAGGTGGGGTGGGTCTCGCATGGTCCGTGGTGCTGGCTCGGGGGCATTTGCGGAGGCCCGTTGTAGTCCATGTTGGCAGCCTGGTGATGTGGCAGGTGATTGAGGCCGTAAAGGGATGGGCCGGAGGTGGGCATAGAATCCACATAGTTGCCTCCAACATAGACGGGGCTTCCCTGCATACTGGGAGTCCCGTAGGCCACCCCGTTCCCTTGTAAGACATGGGGGTCGTACTCAGGGGCTGTGTTGGCGTATTTCTGTTGGGAAGGGCAGCCTTTGATGGGGTTTTGGTAGTTAGTTGACATGGCATAGGCATTTTGGTGGGGTTTATTGAAGGAAGGCGGTGAGGGGGCATCATAGTTACTGCTCATGGTGTGCAAGGCGTTCATAAATCCGGCGGAGGACTGCATGGGCTGGGGTGGGCTGCCAGTGGGGGAAGGCCCTCCAGAGGAAGACCCCATGCCTTTTGACTTCTGATCTTTCTTATACTTCATCCTCCTGTTCTGGAACCAGATCTTGATCTGCCTCTTAGGCTGTGCGGGCTCTCTTGGAGGCCGAGGAGCCTGGAGGGCTTTTCTCGCCACTGCAGGTTTCTGCTGGCCGTGAAATGAAATAAAAGATAATTACTTACATGCAGAAATTGAATGCATCGTTTCTTAATAAATCCTGGAACAGGCACAAGAGTTCGACCCCCCCCTTTCCTCACCCCCTTGCATTAGCCTGCACTCCATAATCATGTCATTTATTAAGAGTTCTGTTCTCCAAAGCTGCCCCTGGTTTATGAAAATTTGATCATGTCACGTACAAAAGGATTCCAGGGCCATTTGTTTAGGAGTCGATTATTTCCAACAGATAATTTTGAGAAAATAATATTTGGCAGGGGGGCAGTCACTGCAAAGCCAATTAATACTAACACGGGTCAGTGTTGGGAGGTATTTTGTTTGCCGAGGTACGAATACACACACACACGCAGACCTCGCCTGTATCTTGTATTTGTGTAACACAAATATTTGCATGTACATTGTCAAACACCGAATTGCATTTGTACCTACCTTTTTGTGAGATATATATATCAGATAAATTATATTAACATAGAGCAAAGCACGTGCCACAAAGTTTATATGAATATATCTGTCAGAGCAGTGATATTTCCACACTGATTTTTTTTTCTTGATCAGGTTAGAGATGTGCTTGTATGCCTGTGAGAATATCCCTCTGTATATGGAGCATAGGCTCCATATATGCACGCAGACACTCGGAGAGCACCATGTTTACTGCTGTGTCTGGAGGCAGGGAGGTGGGAAGAGAGCAAGCGCTCCGCGTCAGCATGGCTAGGTTGAGCAGTGGGTGTACATTTTCACATATCTGTAGCTACACAGCCAGACATGGGCTGTGTGCAGCCGCCTGGTTGTATTTCCCTGTGGTGCTCTGGGTATGTTTAAAATAAACCAAGTGTGCAGTCAGTGCTGCAGGATGGGCCACGGCTCGCTCAGCCAGGCCGGGGCATGCGGCTGGCAGTCTTAGGATCATGCCCAGCACCAGGATCCTCACTGGATCCTCTCCCCCTCTCCCCTCCCTCCAGCCAGTGGCTTTGTGTCCTTGCTGTTTCGGAAAGCGGAGGGTTACAAAAGCAGAACAGTGTACCTGTGCTAGGGGAGCTGTTTTTCTGTTTGGAGTTTTGCCTCGATTCTTTCATCCAGGGGAAAATCTGCTTGGTGAGACTGGCGTTTGCACTGAGGTTGGCTTTGCTGGGGGCAGGTTTACTGCTCCCCGATGGGTTATTGCTGTTGCTACTGGTGCTGTTGGTGGCAGGGTTTGGGGGCGGCGAGACGGGGGGAGGCGGATGGTGCTCCTGGGGCAAACTTGGACGCATGCAGCTCCCGTTCAGGTCTTTACTTTTTGCGTGCGGGGTTGCGTTGCCAAGAGACTGGAGGGAGCAGGCGGACCGCTGGTAGTCGTTCTCCACGTGAGAGGCCGGCTGGAAGGGCTGCTGGGGACCCTCGTAGCCAAACCCATTGGCACTCCCGTAAGAGTAACCCCCAAAGAGCGTGGAGCTGTCGTAGTACGTTGTCTTCTGCATCTCTGGGACTCCCCAAAATGATTTTTCCAGCTACCAGGGTCTTGACACCCCTATGGCAGAACATTGGCACCCCAAGGCCACGTGACAGGCCGTTTCCAGCTGTCTATTGGAAGCTGACCTGAAAGGTTAGGAGAAAACACACAATAATAGTACCCGGCCTATGAATCCATCTTGGGGCCTGAAAGGCCCATGACATGAATAGGGTCCCGCAGAACAGGGCGAACAGATGCTTTGAGCAGATTTTGCCCTGTGTGCTGCCTCAGGAAGCTCCACAAATGTTACAGTGCTAAAGCGTTGAGCTGATTTTGGGGGATAGTTTTCCTGCTTGGTTGGTTGTTTGCTCTTTTTTCCCCTCAGAGGATAGCACCCAGGATGCATAACTGCACACATGCTCTATAAGTGCACGTGGTTTCAGCCGTATGCATCTATTTACTTCTGGGTATATATATCCACATGTATACACACACCCATGCACACACATATACTCCCATATAAATGTGTGTGTGTGTGTGTATGCGTGTAGATGTGTGTCGCCTGCACGTATACACGTCCGCGGCCAGACAGCACACACATTAATGTAAATACAAGAATACAGAACAGAAAATTGCTGGCTACAAGCATGAAAGGAATGAAAGTCTTGCTTTCTTACCCCTGACCTATTCAAATCAGCCATTCACGCGCATAAAACCCAGCAAGACATTATATCATCAGAAATTAAAAGTCTGCTAAGTTTATTGCAGGGTCTCTGTCCAGTATATTTGGTTTTAAACTGGAAACAGCAAATAGTCAATATGTTTTATCCAGGTAGCGGTGTCCTGACACAGTTGGCTTGATTTTCTGTTTACACAATGTCTTTGGAATTCAGTGCAAACATTTTAAGCAGATTTAAACAGGGGCATGAATTCAAGAATGTGCTTCCTCTGGCCTGTTTGTTAGCCTCTCGCTCCGGTAGCGCAGGTTCTATTTAGAAAACATCCCCCTCCTTTGCCTGCACTGCTTTGTACTCATCCGTCTTGAACCTGGAACTACCATTGGCAAGATGTGGTTCTAAACCCAGTTTAATTGCTCTTGTTATTTTTTTCCTTGGAAAACAAACGTGCCACCAGGCCATTTGCTCTTAACTTTCTACCCTTTGATTTTTCCTCGGTCCTCCCTCCCTGAATCCAAGCTCAAAGAGTCTAAAAACCCAACCCAAAACCTCCAATTACAAAATGAAGCCTTCCTTTTTTTCTTTCTCTCTCTGGGCTTTTTATTTTTCTTTATCTCTTTCTTTCCCTTCCTTTTCTCAAAACATAAACTTTCTCTACCACAAAGACAGAGTAGAAAAACCCTTAGAAAAATGAGAACTGTCTTGACCTGAAAATAATCTGATGTGTGAGGATGAAGCAAGCAGCAAACGCATTTTCAAAAGGCAGTGACTTCTCCCCGCAGCTCAGAGTTTGCGAGGAGCCACTGTGCATTTTGTTTTGAAATTGATATCCATTGTATATTTAATTGTATCTATTGTATATTTAATTTTATCTGGGCTCTTTCATTCTCTAAAATAAAATAAAATAAACTCTGTGGAGATAAAGTCTAATGCGATATTTCTAAGTACCGGGGTTTAACAGAAGCCATAGCTCGACAATAAATAACATCTTTTTTCCTTTCCCTGGCTGCTGGGTTCTTGTGTCATGTCACATGAAACCTCCCGGTACTTCTAACACAGCCTCAGACGATGTGTCCACGAAGGGACCACGTAGCTTTTTTACACTGATTAAATCCTTTATGCATTCCCAAATCTGCATTGTATCTTCCACGGAGATGCATTATTGTCTGCGGCGGGGATGATATCCTTGCTGGGAGTTACTCTCATTTGGTTTCCTCGCCATGATAAATATGTCTTATTAAAAAGTAGACTCCACTACCCGAGCCGAGAAGCCGTGAATTAATTAACAAACAGCAGCGCCTTTATTATGAATAGGTTTGCTGAAAATATCTGCGAGGGCAGAGGTGGGAATTTCTCCAAGGCCTTCCTGTTTGGCAAAGGTTTCTTAAAAAAAAAAAACAAAACCAAAACAAACCCAAACCAGAACCGAGCAGAGAGGCTCAGCTAAAGCAGCTAAAAATAACAGCGACGAGGTTTTTTTAAATGGCCATAAAATAAATTTACAATCCCCTTCGCCCAAAAGCTCGCTCGCTTGTGGCTTCCACAGAAGATTTGCTTTGTACCTCATCTCTCAGCGCCTCACAAATGCCGCTCATTTATCTTCGCCGAGGACGGCCGCAATCCTAATTATTTACTCCAAGGAATTGTTAAAAAAAAAAAAAAAAATCTCAGGCAGAATGATAAATATTCGATTATCTCCTGTTCCAATTAAACCCGGGCAGGATCCGCGCCGGCTGTTTCATCACGCTCCAAGTTTCACTTTGCGAGCGGTAACATTTAACCACAAACTCTTTGCCTGCAACTTTGGAGTGCAAGGATTTAGAGACATTAAAAAAAAAAAAAAAAAAAGAAAAAAAGAAAAGAAAAGAATCGGGGGAAGGTGCGAGAGAGAAAGGGCTGCGGGGAGGAGGAGGAAAAAAAAACCTCAGGCAGTCGGGGAAAAAAGATAAAAGAAATCTCAGGCAGAGGTATTCTCCTGTAACGCCATCCCCTCCATGTTGGAAACCCCAAATTCAGAACCTGCCCGTGCTCACGAAGGGGAGCAGCGCCTTTCCCCTCCCCGCCCGCCCCCCCCCCGCATATTTCCCAGAGCCAGCGGAACCAGGCATAGCCCCGCTTTTAATTTAAATTATTATTAATAAGAAATATTCTAAACATGCCCTTAACAATAGGTCGGCTGCTCAGACAGAGCTCAAATCCCAGCCACTGCCTTGCGGTGGATATGCCTGGAAAACAGAGACACATTCCTAAAATTTCCCTCTTCCCTCCCCCCACAACCGAGCTTCACCCCAACCAGCACTCCCCAGTTGTAAAGCAGGGGGGGATAGGGCCCTGGATGAGGGCTGCAAAAGAGTCTCTGCGTGGAAGGAAGCTTAAAGCTTGTGAACTCTTCTTGAACCGAGATTGGAGTCATATGGTCATAAATCATTGGGACATATACTCCGCCATTCACAAAGTGATAGCCTATTTGAGTCCGGCTTACCTTAGTCTCTGACGAGCAAAGCACAGGCAGACATAATATATTTTCACATCCAGCATCCACGCAATCAATAAGCAAGGAATGACCCCCTTCCTTTAAAAACGTTAAAGGAGTATAGGAGAGAGAGGAAAAAAATCCGGCATATGCATGTATATATGTATAAAAAAAAAAAGACAAAACAGAGGGGGAGGGGGCTCAGCCAGTGGAGCTTTCGGTTACGGCAGCTCAAATTGTCTCCCTGCCTCCGTTTGGGGAAGAGGGGAAAAAAAAAAAAAAAAATCAAGATGCTTTCCAGCTTCCAAGATGTGCAGAAAAGCTGAGGGCTTTGAATGGACAAACCCTGGGATTCTGGTTGCCCTATAGACTGGTACGCGCTGCTCACTGATAACAATGGCCTCTGCTTTACCACAGCAAAGGGGAAGAAGGGAAAGGAGAAGGGAAAAAAAAAAAAGAAAGAAAGAAAAGCTGAACACAACACACACCACCACCCCCCCCTTTTAACTATGCAATGCTTGGCTGGGATTAAAATAATAACGAAAAGAATCCAGGCTACGGGGGG